CAATCAGAATACAAGCTCAAATTCAAATCCCAACAGAGGGTATAAAACCCAGGCATTCTCAGCTTCTCAGCCCTTCTTTGGAGCTGCAAGCCATGTGGTCCTGTCCACCATTAAACCATCTTTCCAAGCAGTCGCCATGTTTCCAGTGTCTTTCTTCCCCATTTGGAACTGAACCCAGAAAGCTATTTCTTCCAACACATCAAAACCATTAAAAAGAGAAAGTTAGAATATTTTGGACACGGGAAGCGACACCCGGAAAAATATGGCACCCTTGACTTAATCCTCCAAGGAAAGATTTAAGGCAAAGGAGGTCCAGGTAGAAGAAGCACATCAGGGTTTCCAAATCTAAGGGACCGGTTTGGACAAAACTGATCAGCACTTTTTCCTGCAGCTGTTGATAAAAATAGGATCGAGAACATCATCGCCAATGCCCGATGATGGATAGGGCACAAGAAGAAGAAAATAAAACAATAATACTAATCTACAGCACAGAGTGAAGGGCTTGTCTTGCCCTTCCCTGTCTGAGAACAACAATTTTAAAAGCAATCAATCTGCACATGTTAGAGTATAGACCGGTTGTGTTTTATGGCACAATATTAAAAACGGATCAATATACACTACAGGTAGGCCTCATTTACAACAGGTCGTTTAGCAACTGTTCCAAGTTGCAACGGCACTGAAAAAAAAGTGACTTAGGACAGTTTTTCATATTTATTACCATTGCAGCATCCCTGTGGTCACGTGATCAAAATTAGGAAGTTTGGCAACCAATTCATATTTGTGACGCAGTGTCGATGGGGAAAGCTAGATTTCACTTAACAACTGTGTTACTAACTTAACCACTGCAGTGATTTGCTTACCGACCGTGGCAAGAAAGGCCGTAAAATGGGGCAAACCCCACTTAGTATAACTGTCTCACTTAGCAACAGAAATTCCGGGCTCAATCGTGGTCATAAGTCGAGGACTACCTGTAGTCGTCGACTTACAATTACGATCAGAATTCCCATTGCTAATCAAGGTGATTCTTAAGTGACTTACACCCAATGTTAAGATAACTTTTTGCCATTGGTTGTTAAACATATTATAGCAGTTGGTCAGTGTAAGACATGGTCGTTAAGCTAATTGAAAGCTGACTGGGAAGTTTGGAAGACCTGACCCCAGGACCCTACAACTGTCCAAAATTTTAATCACATGACTGTGGGGTTGCTGCAATGGTCATAAGTGCAAGGACCAGATGTCACTTTTTTAAAAAAATACAGTTGTAACTTCAAATGGTCACAAAACAAATGGTGGTAAGCCAAAAACTCCTGTAAACTCACTTGTTTGCACAAGTTATATTTTTTCAGCTTGCAGCAATCAAATGTGGTTAGACTGCACTACTTCAGGTCTCACCACTAGCCAGGATAGCAACAGATCATCAGAGTTCAACATGGTGGTGACCTTACCATCAGTTTTCACTAAATTTGTCTTTTTCAGTGAAGTGCTATATGAATTGTTTAGCCTTGAAGCCCCTACCCCTCTCCAGGATATCCCTTGGCATTTATCCTTTAAGTGGTAATTCATTTACCTAATGTCTTTTATCACAATTATAATGTCTCCACTCCTGTAGAGATTAAGTTTCTGCTTTTGAACCAGAAAACCAAATGGGGGGAGGGGGAACCCCACAGGCTGTACATATGTTTGTCCTAGTCATGACTATTTGGGCATAAAACCTTCAAATTAATAGAGCCAACTTTTCAAATTTTGGAACTGATACCAATGCTAGATAGTAGTTAGAAAAATTGATTTAATAAATAAGGATATCCCAATATATTTATTATTCCATTGGTTTAATAAAATTCATAATGTATTACTACTTGTGTGCCATTTTGGGAGTAAACCCTCCTTAATAGATGCTGCTTCCTCAAAAGTTAACATCAAGAAAATTTAGTAAGGACTGTTATTTATAGTTAAAGATATATTCACGAGTTCAAGGCAACATATATAACTCCTCACAACTCTGTAAGGGGTGCAACAATCTTTAATAGATGTATTCCCAGCATTTCTCAAAGGTCAATAATGGAAGTAGGGACATCATTTTTATTAGCACAGCTGTAAAATTTCTTTCCAAAGAGAATAAAAAAAAACCCCACCCTAAAATACAATCTCCATTCCATTGCAATCTAAAGCAAAATACAAAATTCTGAGAATGTACATCATATTACCGTAAAGAAAAGCCACACAAGTTGCATTTCCTCTAAATATTCTAGAAAGACCCAGCAAGCTGTTAAGAGCCACACCACTGCCTTCTAAATTTAGATACGTATTTTTTAAAAAGGATTTTCATTTTAACTAGATGGCAAACCTGCTTCTCGCTAAGGATAGAATTTTTGTCAAAGATCATTAAGAAAAAAAAAACGGAACAATGCAACCACACAGCTGCCATCCAGGGCCAGTCTGTAAAAGGAAGAGGAAGGCCATCTCCATATCACAGCCCCAACTGGGTTAAGCTGTCAATCTGGATCTCAAAAGGCCAAAACCCAGACAATACACACACGTACACAAAACGTTTCTAAATTGGGCATCTCCTCCATCTGAAAACAAAACAAAACAACACAAAATCCCACCAGGGTGGCTGTAAAGACTCTTGCAAAGAAAAGATGATTGATTACAGGACCCCTGGATTCCCTTGACAAGGGTGGGAGGGAGATGTCATCCCATTTTATGGCTGCAAAAGGAGACCCCTGGGGAGACACCCAGCTGCTGTTGAGTGGAGATGGGGAGGGGGGACAGGGGGAAGCCAAGACATAAAGGGGGGAGGCATGCTGAAAACCTCCCATTATCCTGCCCCAATTTAACTGCAGGGAGTTCATTTATTTAGATTTATCGGCTACCCAACTCCAGTTGACACAAGACGCTTTAACACATGCACCCCACACCCACATATACACCCCTACCCTATGGATCACTGAAGATCACCCCGCACAGGGCACCCCAAAACAAGGACTATCCTCTCCCACCCACCCAAATTTGTGGCTATCTAGGAAATTTAAAAAAAAACACTTTAAACTTTTTTCAAAGCAGACTTTGGGGGGGGGGAAACTCACCCATCCCCCCCCTTTCCCAAGTAGGGGTCTTTGAATCCTCTCCTCAATAGCCCCCTCCCCAATATCCTAGCCCTCTCAATGGTGCCCATTTACTGGAGGGGGAGAGAGAAAGGCCAGCCAAGGCACCCCACTTCCTTTTTCTCCCCCTCCCCCCAAAATTAATAATATACATTTTATAAAAACACTTTTTCTCCCCCAGGAGCTGGACAGGAAGAAGAAAAGAAGGAAAGAAGGACGGAAAAGAGGGAGGGAGGAAGGAAGGAAGGAAAGGAGGGAGGGAGGGAGGGAGGAAAGCAAGAAGGAAGGAAGGAAAGGAGGGAGGAAGGAAGGAAAGGAGGAAGGAAAGGAGGGAGTGAGGACCGGGCCGGGCCGGGAAAGCAGTCCGGAGGTGGGGAAAGAGCCACAAACGGGCCGAGAAGAGCCTCGCCGGCGGCCCAACCGAGCTCCCCTCACGCCTTCCTCGGCCACGGGCGGAGGCTCTTCGGGCTGCCTTCCGCCCAAGGCCCGGCCAAGCTCGCGCGGTTGTTCCCCGCCGGCAAGGCCGCCGGAGCCTGAGGCGATTCCGCCGCCGGACGCGTCTCGGGCACTTACAACAAGAAGCTCATGATGGCGGCGGAGCAAGAGCGGCTGCCTCGGCGCGGCTCCCAATGGCAGGCGGCCGCGGCGGGCGAAAGAGGAGGAGGAAGAGGAGGAGGAGGGAAGGCGGGCGGGCCTCCGCCGTCCGGAGCCGCCTCTGCTGGCCGCGCCTCCCCTGGCAGGGCTGGGGCCCGCGAGCTCCCGCCCTAACCAGGCGGGCAAGGGTGGGCACGATGGGAGTTGTAGTCCGACGCGCCTAGAGGACGGAGATGGTTTGCCTGCCTTGCGGGCCGGTGGAGGGTCCTTTTTTATATTTGCTCTGATGTTTCGGCGCCTCTCGGGCCTTCCCGGCTGCAGGTGCTATTCAACAGGTGCCTGCTTGCCAACACCCCCTTCCCTCTCTCATTATCTATCTATCTATCTATCTATCTATCTATCTATCTATCTATCTATCTATC